AGTTTACAGCAAGGATTTTCATTTAGACGTTGTCTTTTCTAAATCCTATTGAATTTACTGATCTAGGCAGCCACTAAAAATACCACACATTGGGGCGCCTGGGTGGCTCAGTGGGTTGAGTATCTGACTTCCGCTCAGGTCATGAACTCACGGTTCGTGGTTTCAAGCCCTGTGTCAGGCTCTATGCTGACGGCTCAGAGCCTGGAGCCTGCTTCCCATTCTGTGTCTCCCTCTCTCTCTCTCTCTCAAAAATAAACAAACATAAAAAATAATAATAATAAATAAGGGTGCCTGGGTGGCTCAGCCAGTTGAGAGTCCAACTTTGGCTCAGGTCATGGTCTTGCAGTTTGTGGGTTGAGCCCCGCGTCAGGCTCTGTGCGGTCAGCTTGGAGCCCGGAGCCTGCTTCAGATTCTGCGTCTCTCTCTGCCCCTCCCTGCTGGTTCTGTTTCTCTCTCTCAAAAATAAACACTAAAAAATTTTTTTTAATAATAAGTAAAAATACCACACATTTCCTGTCAGTTTGAGAATTACAGCCTGTCCATATCTTCATATATTTAATATTTTCACTAATCTTTGCATGTGATAATAATCTATTTTAACAGTATAAACTGTAAGGTTTAAACAAGTACTGTACTCAGTGCTATTCCTTAAGCAAAGGATTACCTCTGGCAGCTGAGTGATTTTTTTTTAAGGATCTTTCTTCCAGAATTCTGAAACCTTTAAATTCCCTGTATTTTTATTTTACTTCAGTTTTTCATGAACCATGAGGACAATATATTCTCACGTTAGCTGAAGTCTGCAGCAGTAATTCAACAACATTAAGGCTGAAAGCTTTTCTTATTACAAAATCAGATGCGTCATTTGGTGATGCTTCTGTGTAACGCCTGTTGCCAACGTTACTATAATTGGGAAAGTGAAAAAGCCGAATATAAACACCAAGAAAAATGGTGGTGCCAGTTTTAATGACCCTTCAACAATGATTCAGCAAATTAGTTGTACACATGGAAAATGTACTCAATCAGGAAAATAAGAAGTCAGAGGATTCCTTTAAACTAAGATTTCATTTGCTGATCCATATAGTAGAAACTTGAAACGGTATTCTAAGCTTGCATAGTTCACCAAATGACAATTATAATAGCAGCTGGACTGAAAGAAAACTCAGTCTCTGAAATCTTTCCACCTTGTTCTCAGGGGCACATTTCAAAGCAAGCACCATCATTACCTGCACAGAAGGCTCCTGCTGTCCCAGAAAGGATCTTACCCATAGAGATCATTGTCAGTATTCTTACTGTGACAACTCAGGTCTCTGACAAAAGACAGTCTCTTTATCAAAGTGTTCGGCAAAAGCAAAGGGTTTTCTCCTTCTGCCGGCACAAGCTTTACATGTTTCTAACAAGGTATAAATGGTGGACCAGACCCTTGTGAGGTTAGAGTTTTTCTGCAATTTTAATTTAAAAAAGAATGCCCCACCAAACTTTGACATGGTTTATCTATTTAAATAATACTTCTATTGCTAAAGGAAACAAATTTGTAGTTTAATGACTTTGAGAACAGGATCTTAAAAAGTTGTTTTAGCAACTCTCTCTAAACAAGGCTTGCTCAGTAAGGTTAATAATGAGGACTTTTTAAAAAAGTTTTTAAAGTTTTTATTTATTTTTGAATGAGAGAGAGAGAGTGCAGGGAAGGAGCAGAGAGGGAGGGACAGAGAGAGAGAATCCTAAGCAGGCTCTGCACTACCCACGCAGAGCCCAATGTGAGGCTCAAATTCACAAACAGTGAGATCATGACCTGAGCAGAAACCAAAAGCCGGAAACTTAGCCAGCTGAGCCACCCAGGTACCCCAATAATGAGGATGTTAAAAAAAAAAAAAGTCTGCACTTGATAAAAATCCGACTAGATGGGCTTATCAATCTGTTTAACAGGACAGACTTGCTCCCAAATCATATTCAGCAGCAAATACAGGGCCTACCATGGGCCAGGCACTGTAGTTGGGCACACGCCAGGAGGCAACATCTCCAGGCTTCTCTAGCAAACAGGTTCCTACACCATCAACTCCAAGGACAGGATCTTGTCTATCCTACCCTGTGGATAGGCATTGTGGCCCCAGTGCCTAGATGAGTACCTGGCACAGAGTAGATAATACATTTGTCAGAAATTAACATACTTAAAAATTCGTTAGAAGTTTAGGTGTTCTTTAACATAATCTTTAAAAACTGGGACAGAGGAACCTGGGTGGCTCAATGGGTTGGTTAAGTGTCCAACTTCAGCTCAGGTTATGATCTCACAGTTGATGGGTTCGAGCTCCATGTCGGTCTCTGTACTGACGGCTCAGAGCCTGCAGCCTGCTTCAGATTCTGTCTCCCTTTCTCTCTGCCACTCTTCCACTCGCGCTCTGTCTGTCTCTCAAAAATAAAAATGTTAATTTTAATAAAAATAAAAATAAATGAAAACTGGGGCAAAGCTATCCTTTTATTTATTCACATCGCAGATGTTATTCTTTTACAGGCCACATTCATAAGTTATGAGACTGCTGGAATTTCACATCTACTCCTACCCCACACACTTGGTTATGACATACAGGGCTATGTCAAAGTCCACTGTAATTAACAGATGTGAAAGTCTTCTGAAAAGCAGAGAGCAAATTCCAAATGCAAACTGACATCAAGGAGGTTTAGATCTGTGCTCATTAAGGTTTCATTAAACACCTGATTTTGTTTTTATTATCAGAGGTTAAAGAGTTCCACGTGTAACCCCAATATGTTGCATTTGCTTCCTGTAGATTTAAGTATTACAACTTAAATCTGCTCTTAACAACTTCCCACAGGGTGCAAGTGCAGTGTGGACTAAAGCACCTGATGGAAAAGAGCCATGAAAACAGTGTGAGAGACTCAGTTCACCAAATATTAAAACTGAGCCTCTATTATGTGATCAGTATTATGCTAGATTTTTTAGAAAGGGCCTGTATAGATCTATGCTTGCTAAATAAAAATATTTAGCTTCAATTATATTGTAGGGAAATGTTGCAATGGTGCAGTAATTGACTCATTAATCCTAGAGAAAGTATCAAACTAGGCCATCAATCCTTATGGGGAATTCTGAAAAGGGGTTAAAATGTAAGACAAATTTGCCTTGTGGATAGTGAGAACATGATGGCAAATCATGCACTACTTGGCCTATAGTTTGGACTATAAAAGTGAGCTTGTGAACCACCCTGATTCAAGTGACCATCCACGAAATAGCAAAAACAAAAAAGGAAACCCACCTTCCCCCTCAAAAGAGTTGCTTGTTTTCCTTTTCTAAGTACAAGCCACTCAAACCCACACCCTTCCCCACCTCCACCCCAAGTTCAATGATGAGCATGAACAAGAATCATGGCCATTTAATATTCAACTAAATGAGATGTTAATTTGCAGTGCCATTTTAGAGCTGAGAAAGTGGATTTGCACAGAATTGCAGAAGCCGAAGATGCCTGGAAAAAATACCTAAGGAGTATCCGGTATGGTGGTTAAAAAGTTGGCTCTGGAGTTTGGAGGGGAATCCTAGTTCCCCTAGTAACAGTATCTACTACCTCCCTAGCTTGACAGGCGGACTAAATGGGCATCAGTGTTAAAAATCCACAAAAAGCGTTCCCCAGTTGCAAATGCCCGCTATTAATATGCAAAAAATAGTGCGGGCACGGACTCCAAACTGAAGGCTGCTTTAAGATTTTTCTCTGAGACATCTTCAGCAAGAAATCCGAGGCAGGCCCATATCTGAAAGCCTATTTTCAACTAAAAAGCGAGTGTGCCAACTAGGAGAAGTGACAGAGGCAGAAGTGCCTCAAGTCATTTTCACTTGGCATCTGGTGTACGATGCATAAGCAAAAAAAGTTTTTCAGCCTTCTGACATCCAACTTAAGAAGCTGTAAGCCCGTGATAAAGGAGAGATAAGTTCTGGGCAGTAGCTAGGTCTCCTCTTTCCGAGTGTAAGTGTATGCTTACCCCCACGCTTGACTTGAGGGAGATCATTTGACGGGTTAGCCTCGTTTTCCTCATCTGGGAAATGGGGAGAAGAGAAGCTGCCCTCCGATTAAGGTGTGGGGTGGATGAAATGCGTTCCGCCCCACAGCCCTGCTATCCCTACCACCTGCAGCAGCTCCCACTGGGCGTGGGTCGGGGGTGCCCCCCTAGAGGCGCGGAGGCCGCGAGACGGGAAGGGGCCAACCAGAGCCTCCAGGTAATGCGGTGAGGATTCAACTGCTAATCGCGGAGGGGTTCCCAGCGGTGCCCCCGCGCAGTGAGCACACCACACGCAGGGATGGTGATGGTCACTGCGCGGAAGCGGCCTCCCGGTGGGCTGGGCGCCCTGCCGGTCCCCACGCCAGGTGAGCGCCGGACCTTCCCGCACCTGACGTCCGCCCGCCGCCAGGGAAACCAACTTTTTAACGGTTTCGCGCCCGGGAACCTCCCGGGCCAGGCCGCCCACCCGGGGAGCGACCGCGCCCTCACCTTGCTGGAGGTCCCGGTGGTCATACCATGGCTCGTCCTCCTTCATCTCAAACTCTTCCACCAGGTTTTCCGCCAGCATCTCGGCCGGCTCCTCCGGGGACAGCGGCCCCCGCCGCCACCGTCCCGCCTCAGCCGCTGCCCCGGGCGCTCCGCCGGCCCCTCCGCCTTCAGCCAGAGCCGCCTTCGGGCGGGACGCGCCGCCGCCCAAGCTCCGCGGCGCCGCCTGACCGGAGCCGTTCCCCGCCGCCGCGGGCCGGCTTGCCGACTCGCTTCGTGCTGCCCAACTGCCCCAACGGCCGGCGATCCAGCGCGAGCGCCGCGGCCGGAGCCTCAAGCCGGTTTCTCACGCCGCAGCCGGGCCCAACGTGGCACTTTGGCAGAACCCTCCCTGGCCGGGGCCGCGATTCAAACCCCCGGCGGCGTCCCGGCCAATCGCGAGCGAGCCACTGGCCGAGCGGCAGTGACGTCGTCCAATCCTGTCTCACCGTAGGTCCGCGGGTCGCCCGGTCTCGCGGGCAGACAGCCAATGGCGACTCCGGAAGAAACAAAGAAGGCGGGGGAAAGGTGAAGGGGTGCGGCCGAGGGCCCCGCCCTCCCTTTTTCTGAGGGTCGCTCTTGGGCCAGTGTTCCGGGCGCTGGGTGTGGAGGTGGCGACCTCAGCGGCGCCTGTAGTGGGTGTCCGGCCGGCCAGTTAGCCAGTGGACTCGAGAGGCGGGAGTCCGGCCTCCGAGCAGTGGGCGGTTGTCCTGGGGGCACCCTTCGCGCAAGCGGAGGCGCGAGGCGTGCCGGAAGCCCGGGGTTCGCTGCCAGGATGGCCCCGTTTGACTCTCAGATTTGCTCTTCTTGATCTGGGGAAATTAAGGGTCGGTCGGCAGTTTAGGGCTATTAGCTGTCTTCTCCTTGATTATCTGAACTCTCATCTCCGACCCGCTGAGAGTTGTACTCACTTCCCCTGAAACAGAGGGCCCCGGACCTACTTGAATATCTGGCGCAGAAAAGGGGTGCACTTGAAAGTATCTTCTTAAAAAAAAAAAGTTGCAAGCACCTTTGCATACGATTTTTAAAAGATTCATAGACCACCAGTTAAGGACCCGGACATTGCACCTGGAGGGAAGAGAATGCAGCCCTAACACCTGATGGCCAGCAAGGCAGTGAACTTCGTTCTCCATAAAGTTAGTGATACTGCTGTTTCGGGGGCGCGGCTTTTTACCATCATCGTGCAGACAAAACACAGAAACTCCTACATAGGGTGACAGACCAGAAGGTCAATGTTCTCGACCCTGATGTAAAGGTAAAGATACAGCTGAAAGAAGACAGCAGTGCTCTCTCTTATAGTAGAATGCCAACCAATAAATGTAGAAGGAATAATGGTGTTAGAAAGTAATAAAAGAGGAATGGTAAACTCACAAATGCTTTTTTTCTGAATCCAGATATACTAAAAGACAAAATGTTACTGATTATTTTTAATTGCTAGATTAACAAAGTAAGAAATCTAGGTTACCTTAAAGCCTTTACTGCCCTAATTGTCAAAATTCAGGTAGAGATATAGTCCAGAGCCAAAAGAAAATAATTTAAAGCCAACTGTCTTAATCTAAAAGTAGCTCACTACAAATAGAGGGAAAGAGAGATGATTGGATTTAGGATTTGCTGACGGTGGTTTGCAGAAGCTGAGGGCTAGACTCAGGCATCTGACCTTCAAGGGATTCATCTTCCATAGTCACTGATCCGCAAGATTGAAAGTGCTAGCTTTTTCTCCATGGCAAATAACTCATTTGACTCCAGATCAAATTGGACAGTGTAGTGAAACGTCCTTTCATTTTTCTCCTTCAAAAACAAAAAAAGAGAAAGACGTGGAGAATTAAAGTTACTGATAATTGTAAATGGCAAAAAAAAAAAAAAAAACCAAAAACCCCACCCAAAAAAACAAAACAAAACAGCAAAACAAAACCCACAACAGACTATGTCTTTAGGATTAGTGGGTTCTTTTTAAGAACACCTTTTGGGGAAACTTGCACAAAAATTGCATTCAGAAAGACATGTTAGCTTTCACTGTTTGAAGCCATGCTTTGGAGGGGTCTCCATCATTCTTTTACAGTCTACATAGTGAAAACAGAGGTGCAATCATGAACAGCCTCTTCAGTGACGTTAATATTACTTGGTTTAGTAGTAGATTAGTGAATAACAACCCAGGTTGATTCTAAAAGGAGGGTTTTGGGTTTTCATTTAATAATTCATGGGTATATTGTACACCTGCCCAGCCTAATCACTATACTATTTTGCTACTTAAACTCTTCTGTTATGAAACCTTTTGTGGTAAAGAAGAGCCAGTGTCAGAAGTCTTTTGTTGCTGCTCATAAAGATAAAATATTCTTCTTTGTGTCTTGTTGCTACAGTAAAATCAGGTAAGGAGAGTTTTTAGAGAGCAGTGGTGGCTTTAAAAAAATTCTAAGTGATTTTCAGTTTGATACTTACTGAACAAGTATTTACTATGATGAAAATAGTCTAAAACAAAATATTGATAGTTCCTTTCCAAATGAAAATAAGAGGGATTTTACTTCCTTCTCAGTATATATAAACAAAGAGTGCTTACTTCGGCAGCACATAGACTAAATTTGGAACAATGCAGAGATTAGCATGGCCCGGGCTGAAGGATGATGTGCCAATCAGTATATAGAAACAAAGAGAAGTTCAGGCTATATGAGTTTTTCATAATGTTATTAAAACCTTATATTCACATGTTTCAGACAGGATGGGTGCTTAACTCAAAATCTTTTTTAAAAAATTTTAACTTAGTGAGTTTATGACCCTTTGCAAAATTCTGAGTTTATAAATATCCACCTTCTGACTTAATGATAGATCAGCGCAGAATGCGTGGCAGGCTTCTTGTTTCAGCATGCCTGAAATAAAACTAAGAAAAAGAAGAGTGCCTACATTTTGGTGGGCTAAATTTGTATCTTGGCTTTTGGTTCAACTGAGTGCCTTGTTTGGGCCTTCAATCTTCATTCTCACTTAGGCCAAAAGTAACTCCCTAGAGTGGGGTCTTCACTGGTAGTTCCCAGTTTTTTCAAATCTGAAAATTGTGTTTAAAGCCAAAAATGTTGGCTGACCTCTACATAATAGTACTTGTGCTTTTCAAGTGTTTGAGCACTGCATAATGACAATAACAAAAAAATTCAGGTGAAATCGTTATAGCAGGATCTACAAACATTTAAAGAATACTAGTACACATAGGAGCAAAATAGTCTTTATTCAGTCTACAGACAGTGCTTCGTCTGCATATGGGTTTAATAACCCCTTTTAATTGTAGAGCCCTACTTCCCATAGAATTAGAATCATTCTTGGATACACCCAATGCAAAGTCAAGCTCAGAGACTTAGATAATTTGGTCATTTGAACCCCGCTTCTAGCTTGCCCTCTCCTTCCCTAAGAGATTGGGCAGGATAGACAGCAGTACCTGCTTAATTCCTGGGGCTATAAAAACAAGTAACATCTCTTGAGTTATCTGAATATTTGTCTGTTTTGTGATTCAGTAAGATAGTGGAGACCTGGCCAAATATTCCAGTAAGAAAGGAATAAAACAGAAAAATCATGGTATTGTCTTAAGTTATAGTCAGGATTAAAAGGAAGATGGATCTGTACTTACCTCTTGCTTGGTTAACCTTTTCCTATTTTCCAGTTGGATAAATCAAGTTACTGAAAGGGTAAGACAATAGGCCAAATTTAAGAGGAACATCTACATCAGAGCAAAGACTAGAATGTGTGTTTTTTATATCCATCTTAGATAGGTCCTGTGGGCCAAAGTTATATAGTCTTTCAGGAGAAGACCAAGAATAAATATTCCAATGCAAGTCTGTAACTAATGCATGGTCAACTTTATACTAAGATGAGGATTCTATTCCTTCTGTCTGACTTTAGCTAAAGGATGTCACCTCATCATTCTTTTTCTGTTGTTCCTTTTCTCCCAAGAAGGGAGGACAATAATGCCATAAACACATCTTTCTGGCCTCTAATTAAGCATATTCAAATTCATAGATAAATCTCACTTGAATAACTTGGAAGAGTTCATAAAAATATATTCACTGGCATGAGCCTGGCTGGCTTGGTTAGAGGAGCACGTAACTCTTGATCTTGGGGTCATAGGTTCAAGCCATGTATGTGTATATATACACACATATATACTCAAGTAGAGTCACACTATGCAAATTAGGGTTCCTGGCAACTTCTCAAAAAAGGTTGAGTAAATGGATAAGAAAGTAAAGTCTTAAATCTGATGACCTATGCACAGCTAGTGGTTTGGAACTCATAATTAAAACTAAGCCAGTGTCCAGTGGAACTTTGCTACCCATCAGCTATTCTATGCAAACAGTGGATTTTAACCATTTTCCTTTTTTTTTTTTTTTTAACAACAGGAGGAAGAATTCCTTTGCATAGAAAATGACACTTTTAAATATCAAACCCATTGCTTGGGCATATTCTATGATAACATTAGGGACTGAAATGCTAAATTCTGTCTTCAGTTTCTACTATGTGAAGCTGTTTTTACATCTGTACAAGATTTCAGAAGTGGCCTTTTACCAAGCCCAGGTGAGATGGAGCCCTTATTATCTGGGACAGAGTTTCTCTTTCCCCACAGTTGTGTTACTGTGATTTTCCAAAGAACTAATTCTTCACACAGCTCAAAGAGTTTTTAAGGAAAGGTTATCCATGTCCAAGATCCTCTGATTGAGGGCAAAGAAATTTTTAAAAGATTGCCACTTAAAACCTTAAAGCTTTGAGTTTAAAGAGTAAGCTTTGGTTATTTGGAAAATTCACTTATATGGAACAGTTAGAATTATTATTACGATCCCTTGTCTTGAAAAGGTCCATTGGTAATCCCAAATTGTACTGAAACTTATTACCAGTTATGTGGTCAGGGTGGATAAAGTTAATGGTCTTAAACCCCTTATATTTTGTAATGTTACTCCTTTATTACCAACAACAATGTATTTGACTAAATTAGCATTTTTGGCATTTTGCAATGGCAAACGTTGATATTTTAACTTTTCCTAATGAAATTGTGTAAAACTATGCCATACACATGGGCTCTCATTCTCTGCAGAGGCATGGCCCTGGGTGCCTTATGGGGAAGCAGTCTAACATGATTCTGGGGCCATCTGCCTTGGCTCAGACCCTGGCTCTGTTGTTTATAAGGTAGGTAAATTGATTAACTTCTCTGGCCATCAGTTTCTTCACTGTAAAGTAGGGATAATAATCACAGTCCCTGCTTCATAAGATTATTTTAAGGATTTAATTAATTGATTCATGTAAATATTGTACAATGACTAAATACAAAGTGAATGCATATTGCTTTTGGGGTAACATTACCTGCTGTTATTATTATTAAATTATGGGATATATGGCCCCTGCTAGTCCTGAAAGCAGTGAGGGTTTTTTTTTTTTAATTTTTAAAAATTTTTTTTAATGTTTTATTTATTTCTAGGAGAGAGAGAGACAGCGTGAGCAGGGGAGGGTCAGAGAGAGAGGGAGTCACAGACTGAAACAGGCTCCAGGCTCTGAGCTGGCAGTCAGCACAGAGCCCGACACGGGGCTTGAACCCACGAACCGCGAGATCATGACCTAAGCAAAAGTCGGACACTTGACCGACTGAGCCACCCAGGCGCCCCAGCAGTGAGGGTTTTGAGTGTGTGTGGCGTTTTCTTGTTTTGTTTGTTTGTTGTTGTTGTTGTTTTTGCGGATAATTTTGGTTACCTCACATTAAGTAAAAATTCAGGAGTCATTTTCATCAGTATAAACCACACTAAAATAATACCTGCTTTTTTTTTTTCTTCTAGATGATTTTAATGATCTGGAATGCTCTTAATGACCTGACTGGGTATTTTCATAACTCTCAGGCTGACTGCTGTTCTGGTCATCACAGTTCTGTTTTGTATGGTGCCCCTTTGTATTCGATAGCCTTCCTGCTTCCTTGGTTCCCTTGGAAATACTATCACGAAGGTGACTGGCTCAGTGGACTTCATCTGGTGGTGTCGTTATGTGCTTTTGATAGTGCGCTTACCTTTGTTCAGCAAGCCCAGTGTACACTGTTTGCAGAGATTTTCACTAGACATGAAAGTCGGCTTCGGCTTATTAAAATTAACCAAGTGGCATCACTAGTAGGATCCACCAGTATCCTCTTCGGTGGCCTCATCTCTGATAACATGGAAATGTTATTCAATTTTCAGGCCTTTGCTGTGCTCATTGCCATTCTTGCCACAGCCAGCCTTTACACTGGCACGTACCACATGAGTCGCTTGGGACCTAAAAGAAGCCCCGAGGAAAACCTTTTCTCTGAAAGTGAACAGGATCTCCCCTGGACCGCCGTTGTCTCATTGATGAGACAGCTCTTGACCCAGAAGAACTTTTGCCTTTTTCTGATCATGAGTTTCTTTCAAGTCTTCCGTTTTACCTTCTTCAACAACTTCATGATGATCTTTGCAGATAATCTCATTCCCAAGGATGTTCTTCCTTCTTTCCTAAGGAGCATCATGTATGGGGCAGCCTTTATTTGCCCACAGGTATGTGATGATTCTTCCCATATTTTCCTCTGGGGATTAGAGGTCTAACTCCAACCAGGCTGAGGAAATTAAAAACCTGATTAAATCAGTAGTTTGACAAAATGATGCACATAAGAGACCCAAAGAGAATATAGTCAGTGATACTGCAATAATGTTTGGTGGCAGATGGTAGCTACTTTTGCACTGAGCATAGTATAACATACAGACTTGTACAACCACTATGTTATACACCTGTAACTAATGTAACATTGTGTGGCGACTGTACTTGGATAAAAAAAAAAAGAGAGAGAGAGAGAGACCCAAAGATTCAGAGCCCCAGTTCATTTCAGTATTCAGTTCAATATTTCCATTATGTTCAGTAGAAACATAATAGAAATAAGAAGTGAAAGGAAAAAAGAAAAGTGAACCCAATGAGAGCTGAGCAACATGATATTTGAAACATCTTAGCTATTGAATTTTGTTCTTCTAAACTTTCTCACTTAAACCTTAGCAGAGATATGGAAGGAATTAAATGGCAGTTTTGCTTTATAGGGGCAGTTAATATTCCTGTAACCATTATAAGAAAGAAAGTTACTGATCAAGAATTCTTGAGGCTCCTGGACGGCTCAGTTGTTTGAGTGTCTGAATCTTGATTTTGGCTCAGTTCATAATCCCAGGGTAATGGGATGGAGTCCTGCGTGGAGCCCTGCATTGGGCTCTGCGCTTTGCATGGAGCCTGCTTGAGATTCTCTCTTGCTCCCTCTGTCCCACTCTCCAGCTCACAGTCTCTCCCCTTCTCTAAAATGTTTGTTTTTTTTTTTAAAGAATTCTTGAAGCCAGGTTTCAAAACACTTGGCTAAAAGACTGAGTCCTGGAATTCCAGAGCATTATTGAAATTCCATTCTCATGACCATTACTGGAAAGGGCATGTCCTCCTTCAAAAAAATAAACCAGCCTGCTGGGTATTTTTTTTTTTTACAGCATTTAGAGAGTTGATGAATCATATTGCCTTCCTTCACCTAAATATATCACCCCAAAATATGACTTTACATAGCCTATGATACAGGTTTTTCCCATTTTCATAATTAAATGATAATTAAAATTAGTTACCTTTTTAGAGAATAAGTCATTCAAGATAGATGAGTTTTTACTGTTTACGTGTTTACCTGGTTTCAAAAATATTTAAACCATGTTGGATAGAAATAGTTCTAAAATATTTTAAGTGTTGACATACTTCCTTATACAGACTTTATAGAATGCAGTTTGTCTTTTCAACCATTAGCTCCAGGCCTTTGTCATGGTTTGGTTACTGTATATATCATAATAATGGAAAGTCACATTGGGTGCTTACTATGTGCCACAAACTATCCCAAACACCTTGTACACATTATCTCACCTAATCCTCACAACCGCCTTCAAGGAAAAGACTCTTCTTATCCTTACAGATGAGAAAAGGAATGTTCAGAGGCACCTGCTTTTAGAGCTGTGAACTTTTAGATTCTGTCTCTAAAAATATACTGTATTTACATGGTTTACATAGCAGAGTATACCAAATGAGGTACCATTTTTGGCTTATCAGAATAGTCCCAGGTCCTGGGTATGTATACTGAAATGATGCTATTCCTTCAGGACAATTTGACGTTTGTCTAGCTGTTTGCTCCTATGTTTAATGACCTAGGATGAGGAGCTGTTTGCATTCCTATCTCTGATTTATCAGATTCTAAAATACATAAAATATATATCTTCCCATTTTTAATCATGTACTTGCCTATAGTATCTCCTCCAAGTAAAAAAAAGTTTGTTAAACTCTTATGTTAAAAATAAAAAGAGTAGATATGGGGTACCTGGATGGCTCAGTTGGTCGAGCATCTGACTTGATTTCAGCTCAGGTCATGATTCCCAGGGTCATGGGATCAAGCCTGGCATCAAGCTCTGTGCTTAGAGTGGAGCCTGCTTAAGATTCGCTCTTTCCTTCTGCCCTTTTCCCCCTCTCATGTGCATTCTCTCTCTCTCCCTCTCTCTCAAAATAAAAATAGGAGTGCCTGGGTGGCTCAGTTGGTTGAGCATCTGACTCTTGATTTCAGCTAGGGTCATGATCCCAGGGTTGTGGGATTGAGCCCCACATTGGGCTCTGCACTGAGCGTGGAGCCTGCTTTGGATTCTCATTCTCTCTCTCTCTCCCTTTCTGTCCCCTCCCCTCCTTCTAAAATTAAAAAAAAAATTGATATTGTTTTGACTATTCTGGGTACCTTGAAAATCCATGTGAATTTTATTATTTTTCTCTTTTTTTCAAAATTTTATTTAAATTATAGTTAGTTAACATATAGTGTAATATTGTTTTCAGGAGTAGGATTTAGTGATTTATCACTTCCATATAACACCCAGTGCTCACACAAGTGCCCTCCTTAATACTCATCACCCATTTAGCCTACCCCCACCCACCTCCTTCCATCAATTCTGTTTGTTTTTTATCATAAAGAGTCTCTTACAGTTTATTTCCCTCTCTCTTTTTTCTTTTTTCATTTTTCTTTCCCTACCCTTCCCCTGTGTTCATCTGTTTTGTTTCTTAAATTCCACATATGAGTGAAATCATATGATAGTTGTTTTTCTCTGCCTTACTTAGTTCGCTTAGCATGATACATTCTAGCTCCATCCACATTGTTGCAAATGGCAAGATTTCATTCCTTTTGATGGCTGAGTAATATTCCATTATGTATATGTATATTTACATATATACACACCACATCTTCTTTATCCATTCATCGGTCAATGGGGATTTGGTCTCTTTCCATAGTTTGGCTATTGTTGGTAATGCTGCTATAAACACTGGGGTACATGTATCCTTCTGAATCTGTATTTTGTATCCTTTGGGTAAATACCTAGTAGTGCAATTGCTGAGTCATATGGCAGTTCTATCTTTAACTTTTTGAGGAATCTCCATACAGTTTTCCAGAGTGACTGCACCAGTTTGCATTCCCACCAACAGTGTAAGAGGATTCCCCTTTCTCCGCACCCTCATCAACAATTGTTGTTTCTTGTGTTGTTAATTTTAGCCATTCTGACAGGTATGAGGTGGTATCTCATCAGGTTTTGATTTGTATTTCCCTGATGATGAGTGATGTTGAACATCTTTTCATGTGTCTGTTAGCCATCTGGATATCTTCTTTAGAAAAGTATCTATTCATGTTCTGCCCATTTCTTAACAGAGTTATTTGTTTTATGGGTGTTGAGTTTGAAAAGTTCCATATAGATTTTGGGTAAATTATAGATTTATCAGATATGTCATTTGCAAATATCTTCTCTCATTCCATAGGCTGCCTTTTAGCTTTTCTTTTTTATTGCTTCCTTCACTGCAGAAGCTTTTATCATGATGAGGTCCCAATCGTTCATTTTTGCTTTTGTTTCCCTTGCCTCTGGTGACATGTCTAGTAAGAAGTTGCTACAGCTGAGGTCAAAGAGGTTGCTGCCTGTTTTCCTCTGTAGAATTTTGATGGTTTCTTATCTCACATTTAGATCTTTCATCCATTTTGAATTTATTTTTGTGTATGGTGTAAGAGAGTTATCCAGTTTCATTCTTCTGCATGTTGCTGTCCAGTTTTCCCAGCACCATTTGTTGAAAAGCCCTTTTTCCATTGGATATTTTTTTATGCTTTGTCAAAGATTAGTTGACCATATAGTTGTGGGTCCATTTCTGGGTTTTCTATTTTGTTCCATTGATCAATGTGTCTGTTTTTGTGCCAGTACCATACTGTCTTGATGATTACAGCTTTGTAATACAGCTTGAAGTCCTGAATCATGATGCCTCCAGATTTCTTTTCTCTTCAGGATTGCTTTGGCTATTCAGGGTCTTTTGGGGTCTATGTGAATTTTAGAATCAGCCTGTCAATTTCTACAAAGCAGACAGATGGGATGCTAATAGAGATTGCACTGAACCTGTAGATCAGTTTGGGTGGTATTGCTATCTTAGCAGTGTTAAATCTTCTGACCTATAGAGTGTTTTCCATCTATTCTAATTTTTAAAATTTTTTTCAACAATGTTTTGTAGCTTTTAGAGGATACATTATCCCCTTCCTTGTTAAATTTATTCCTGAGTATTTTTTTTTTTTATTTCTAGGAGAGAGAGAGAGAGAGAGAGAGAGACAGCGTGAGCAGGGGAGGGTCAGAGAGAGAGGGAGTCACAGACTGAAACAGGCTCCAGGCTCTGGAGGAATATGCTCCCATATTCCTGAGTATTTAGATAGGGACACCTGGGTGGCTCAGTCGGTTAAGTGTCCGACTTCGGCTCAGGTCATGATCTCACGGTTTGTGGGTTCGAACCCCACGTTCGGGCTCAGTGCTGACAGCTCAGAGCCTGGAGCCTGCTTCAGATCCTGTGTCTCCCTCTCTCTCTGCCCCTCCTCCACTCGCTCTCTGTCTCTGTCTCTCAAAATAAAATAAAGACATAAAAAAAAAATTTTTTTAAAGTTCCTAAGTACTTAGATAGATTTTTAGTGAAGACCTGAGAGGCTATTTCAGAACAAAGTACATGAGCTTTACTAAGTGAATAGATTTAGTGGCTTTATTATTATGATTCCCATAAATGTTTTTGTTTCCTCTTAGTTCATAGACATGTTCTGGGTAGAGATCACCAGATGGTTGAATTCTGATGGAGTGAAGGGCTATTGTGCTTCTGAGAAAACCATAACAATTTTTTTCTTTATTTTTTTAACAAAAGTAATACGTATTTGCTGTAAAGATTCATAGACTATTGAAACATCCATGATTTTTTTTATATCCTGCTTTTTAAACTTAATAAGTTATGGAAATTACCATGTCATGTATAAGTCTACTTTTTAAAAATAGCTGTGTTGGGGTAAATTACATCAATGTTCCATAACTGAACCGCCAGATCATGACCTGCACCAAAGCTGGATGTTCAACCAACTGAGCCACCCAGGTGCCTCATGTGTTGTAACTTTTAAAAACACCACTAAAGTGGGGGCCCCTGGGTAGCTCAGTCAGTTGAGCATCTGACTCTTGATTTCAGCTCAGGTCATGATTTCAGGGTCATGGGATTGAGCTCTGAGTCAGGCTCTATACTGAGCATGGAGCCTGCTTAAGATTCTCTCTCTCTCTCTCTCTCTCTCTCTCTCTCTCTCTCTCTCTCTGCCCCTCTTCCCTGCTCATGCTATCTTTCTCTCTCCCTAAAATAGTAATAGTAATACTAATAATTATTATCTGTATTATTAATAAATAACTATAATTATATTTATTATTATTATTATTATAACAATAGCAACAACAATAGGTCTGTGATTCTTCTACATCCCACTCCCATCAGAGAGGCAAGATAGTAAATGGGTTAAGTGCACAGAGTCTACCAGAGGGAAGTCTTGCTCCCCTCTTACTAGCTGTGTGAGCCTGGGCAAGTTACTCAGTGCTTCTGTGTCTCAGTTTCCTCATTTGTAAAATAAGAATAAAAATAGTGCCTAACTAATAGAATGATTATGAGAATTAAATGAATCAAAATATACAAAGTACTTAAAATGGTTCCTGGTGCAAACTAAACACTCTAGAAATGTTAGCTCTGATTATTAAGACGCCATGAAGCAAATATTTTGTTCAGTTTTCTTCACAAGCACACACTGACTTTATCTGTTTTGATTTGGGTTTCTTTGGCACAGGCTGCCAACGTCTATGCTAAGATTCACTGTTCACAAACTGCTACTCAATAAACATGAATGGAGAGCCAAAATCCTCAGTTTGTGAAACACTTTATTTTAATAAATGAAAAAGTAGTATCTTTCATAATTTTTATCATTTATACCATTGGCTCGTATCTTTTTATATATTGGACATCATCATCATAACTAACAATTGAATACCTTATATGTTGAGTGTGTACTCGATGAGAGAAACATGGAACGAGAGACAGTGAGAGGCAGACACACACAGAGAGAGTGTTAGTTGGACGAAATGTTCCTTATGTGAGGTAACTTGTCCATGGCCACACAGCTGGTCAAGTGGCACAGCTGGGATTCAAACTGTGGGACATCTGATTTCAAAATCTTGCACTTTCCACTCTGCCACATATTCCTTACATTAATCATTAACTTCTTGCATTTTATATGTTTATGTATTAGAGAGTGAGAACAAGAAGCTTCATTTCAAACTTATCCACAATATTATTATCATGTGGAGGAATATAATGGGACCTCCTGGGGTGTTCTATGTACTTGCTCTTACAGAACTCTAAGAAATGCCTGGATCACATCAGTCTCTGAGCTATTGTTTTTAGTATGCAGAAAAGGAGCTCTTGTTCCCTGAAAATAGAGAAGTAAGCCAAAAAGTTAGGGGGAAAGAACCTTTTGTTTATTATAGTACATTTGCATTCTACTTACATCATTCAGAATTCTCTTGTAATTGTAATGTATGTACATTTAGTTAATGAAAACTTTTCAAGGCTAAACAGTGTACTTTTTAATTGAAAACAAAGAGTATCTTCTAATCTTTCTTAATGTACATATGCGTATTTAGCACAAACTTTTCACTCTAGAATAATGAACTTTTTTACTGATAGTATGAAATGCAGAGAAAAATGTAAGTCTGAGCCCTCAACATGAATTTACCAGAATTATAAAAATATGTAAGAGTAGGCAGGAAACAAAACCCAAAGAAATGTGGATAGAATCATAAACTATTGTTTATCTCTGGTACTTGATTTTTTGGATAAAAAGTACAGTTCAGATATATTACAGTAAGAAAAATAGTGAAATGTATGTTCATTTATTCAATAAATATTTGTTTTACCTACTATGTGCTAGGTGAATTCTGGACTTTAACCCCAAATTTTGTTTCATTTCATTTATGTATTTAATGTTTATTTATTTTTGAGAGAGAGACAGAAAGAAAGAGAGTGAGCAGGGGAGGGGCAGAGAGAGGAGACACAGAATCTGAAGCAGGCTCCAGGCTCTGAGCTATCAGCACAGAGCCTAACATGGGGCTTAAATTCATGAACCATGAGATCATGACCTGAGCTGAAGTTGGACGCTTAACCGACTGAGCCCACTCAGGCACCCCTAACTCCAAATTTAAAAATCTGGATTTATATTAGATTCTAATTGGACCTTTCACATCACCATAAAACAATGCTGACTGTTTCTATGCAATGGATTCTTTCATATGGTTGGTTTTAGTAAAATTTCTTCATAGTAGTGTGAAAATAGAAATGTAGGAAACCATTTCCTGGTTTGTTCATTTTAAAGGAAATAATAGCTTTTTGTTTGTTATTATGGAATATTACTATCCTTAATTAATTTTCAATAGATATATATGGTTAACAACATTTCTAGTCACAATAGATGTTTCAAAATAGTGAACACAAAATCGTGTTTCAACTGATATTACCATTCAGACGCAAACGTATTTTCTGCTGAGCACATTTATTTTGTCACCAGCAAGAGTAAGCATAATTCGTGGTGTTCCATCTTAACACGATGTCACTCTGTTTCCATTTCAGTGCCTTGTACTTATCAGTCAGTCCTGGCTGAAGAAGTTTGGTTACTATAAAATTATCTTAATTTCTTTCTACCTAGAAGGAACAGCCTCCATTGTCATGTTACTTCTTGGACAGCAATATTATTACTTTTTGGCTCTTTATCTCACTATTATCATGTAAGTAAACCCAAATGCCAATCGCAAAATTACACTAGGTCTCTCCATTCACCCTTTCAAGCAGTGAAACATTTTTTATCTGAACTATGTTGAATATTCATTTCTAGGCAGTCATTGTACCTTTCTGGCAAACTGAATGTTTACAGTTTCTTTTTTGAAGAGATTTCATACATTAGATTTTGCATTAAAGTTACATTACTCTTTTTAATCTATTAAAGTGCATCAGTTAGTAAATGTTGCTGCCAAATAAAGACCTGGACCCCATGGGGCACTTGGGTAGCTCTGTTGGTTAAGTGTCTGACTCTTGATTTCAGCCCAGGTCATAATCTCTTGATTGTGAGATTGAGCCCTGCATTGGGCTCCTTGATGGGCATGGAGCCTGCTTAAGATTATCTCTCCTTCTCCCTCTGCCCCTCCCCCACTTCTATTTTCTCTCTCTCTCAAAAAAAAAAAAAAAATCTTGCCCCCAAAACATGTTCTTTGCCTTTGTCCCCCATCTTGGGCAACAGCTCTACCATTTGTCAAATGTCCAAGTCAGAGACTTTGTCTTCTCTTTCTTCTTTGTCATCTATGTCCAATATGCTACCAGTTATTAGTCCTGATATGTCCTGAATCCATCTCTTCTCTGATTCCATTAGCTCAGGTCCTCATCATCTCTCACATGGAGCAGTATCTGGCCTCCCATGTGGTTCCCTTGTCTCCAGTTTCCAGTCCTTCCCACAACTTCGTCCACACTGCTCCCAGAGTAACATGTCATTCCTTAATGATCTTAAGTAGCTTGTCATTGCTTTCAAGATTTATATCATGAAATTATGACATATGAGATTTTTTGTTATAATCTCTGTTTACTTCTTCGTCCTCATTTCTTATCATTCTTCTAGTTCCACTGTACCCCACACCAAATAGGAATATTTTGTAGTGTAGACACCTCATGTCTAACATGCAGCATTCTGTGCCTGGAAAGCTCTTTCTCTATTTCTTGCCTGGCTCTCTCCTGGTGTTTACTTTCTTTTCTTTTTTCTTTAAATGTATTTATTTTGAGAGAGAGAGGAGAAAAAGAGAGAGAATGAGCAGGGGAGGGTCAGAGAGAAGGAGAAAGAAAATCCCAAATCCCAAGCAGGTTCTGCGATGTCAGCATGGAGCCCAATGCTGGGCTCAGGCTCACAAACCGTGAGATCATGACCTGAGCCAAAATCAATAGTTGATCGCCTAATTGACTAATTCACCCAGGTGCCCCATGATGATTTTCTTAGTCACACTTTCTTTTCTCTAGCTTACTTTATTCTAAGAATGAAGTATGTAATACATATAATATACAAAGTATGTGTTAATCAACTGTTTATGCTATTGGTAAGGCTTCTGGTCAACTGTAGGCTATTAGTAGTTAAATTTTCAGGGAGGCATAATGTATGTGCGAATTTCCCACTTCCCAGGAAGTCAGCACCCCTAACTTCTGTGTTAATCAAGAGTCGACTGTACATTATTTCATTTTTCCTTCTTATTAACAAAATTTCAACTTTCATTTGATGTTTATTTTTTTTAAACAAAATCTGTGCTTCCTAGTTATATGCATATTTTATATGTATGTTTTAAAATTATTTCTAGGGTAATTGTGCAAGCTTCTTTTTGCTTGTTTAACCTGCCATTAGCTGACGTGGTGGATGCAGATTTACTGAAGTTCAATCGGCAGTAAGTACATTTATTCAAATATCAACTATAAGAATATCACAGGGAAGCAGAACTGATCAGAGTCTGCCTTTTATTTTGTCACTACAAATCACCTATCTAAGAGATGATCATAAGAGGCATCATTGGGAATTAGAGAGCAGAACATAGTAGGATGTTCATAATTGTTTGCCCTGGGCAACTTCTCCCTGCTTCTGAAAGGGCATCATAATTTTTTATACCTCCGGTTCACACAGCCAGTGCTATGACAGAATTAGATCTCTAAAACCAAAGTGAAATCTCAGATAGCTTTATGTTCTATGTATTGCAGTATGCCTTATTACACTGGACGTTGAAGGCAAAATTGTCTTTTCTCTGTGACATTGCAAGAATTAAAATTAAAGATTAAAAATCTTATCTTTTTTTTTAATTGAAAAAATATAAGGGGCTGCTGATGAGAGGTTTTGTTCTTTGGTGTGGTTTTTACATCAGCTATAAAATTCACTTTATTGGTAAATGTTTTCTAATCCATGCCCTTTTTTACAGATTAGAGAGGAATGTGTTTCCTAACACAGGTGTATTCTTTTTTTAAATGTTTATTTATTTATTTATTTATTTAGAGCATATATGCGCATGTGCACATATATGCAAATGTGGGAGACATAGAGAGGGAGAGAGAGAATCCCAAGTAGGCTCCATGCTCAGTGCAGAGCCCAACCTGGGGCTTGATCTCACAACCAAGAGATCATGACCTGAGCTGATTATCAAGAGTCTGATGCTTAACCAACTGAGCCACCTAGTTGCCCCACAGATAAATTCTTTATTAGCTTTGTAGAAAAATTTAGACTACATGGCCTCTTTTTTTTTTTTTTTAAATGAAGTTTATATTGAGAAAAGCCTTGTCAATCCAACTGCTTGATGTCTTCTTTATATAATTCCTATTCTGTTTCAGGGTTTTGTTGCTAAGTTATGTTTGGAGGATAAGCAAAATGGTGAGCTTATAGTGCAGGCGACCCTGTCTTCTTTTATGTCTCTAGTGTCTAGAAAAGTGACTGACTCGAATCACTCTTTTTAACTGAAAATTTAAGGAGTACCTGGGTGGCTCAGTTTGTTAAGTGTCTAACTTTGGTTCAGGTCATGATCTTATGGTTTGAGTTTGACCCCTCTGGCAGGCTCTGTGCTGACAGCTCTGAGCTCAGAACCTGGAGCCTGCTTTGGATTCTTTCTCCCTCTCTCTTTGCCCCTCCCCTGCTCATGCTCTGTCTCTCTCTCTCCCAAAAATAAACATTAAAAAAATTAAATAAGTAATTTGACAAGAAGAAACCTCAGTAAACATCTTACAACTCTCAAATTCTTTTTGAATGAGACTGGATACAAGTAAATAAAATGTTTCAAACAGTTGGAAAGGAAAAGGCATCAGCATTTACCACACACCAGTGTGTGCAAACATTATATGGCTTTTGCTCATTCAGGCAGCCTTGTGTGATAGATATTATTTACTCCACAAATATGTATTTCCTCCTAATGTGTCAAGCACTGTGGTAAAGGCTAGAGATATGATATAGGAGGCCTTGCAACAGAGTCCCTCTAAAACATACTTTTTCTTATTTTTTCTTTTTAATTTTTTAAGTAATCTCTACACCCAACGTGGGGCTCAACCTCACGACCCTGAGATCAAGAGTCGCATGCTCCATGGACTGAACCAGCCAGACGCTCCTAAAACGTACTATCTTATGCACATGGCATGCTGTATGCTCCGATGAGTGGCTACTCTAGAGGATACCTGTGCTTTTCTGCTGGCATAAGTTGTATCCTTACCAGGAGTTAGCACTTTTTATTTCAGATCTGTTAAAGTCAGCTGCAATGGTTATTGTAATGACAACAGTTAAAGGGTGCCTGGGTGGCTCAGTTGGTTGAGCATCTGACCATGATCTCCTAGCCCATCTCCTCTCTGCCCCCCCCCCCCCTTAGAGAGAGTCTATGTCTCTCTCTCTCTAAATAAATAAACTTAAATACTTAGAAACTATAAGGTTGAGATGAAAGTTATATCTGTGAAAACTAAGTTGAATACTTGGATCTGACAAAGGTAAGGTATAAAAAAATACTATCAGATCTGATGCAATGAGAACTATAAATGTTTTAGGGGAAAGTCATAAAAACCTAAAGGTATTGTGTACTCAGGATGCCTTATAAATTGTCGCTCCTCTCTATAACTGACAGTAGAAACTGTAGATCATGTAATATGGATACTGTCCTCGCGAGAACAATGGCACAGCACTTTCACCCATGGGCCCTTACTCAAAGGAAAAACCTAAAGAAAAATTGATGAACCAATACATTTCACTTAAAACAGAATGGCTAATGTCTCTTCTTCTGAAAAGGATTGTTTTGGGAGTGCTTGGGTGGCTCAGTCAGTTGAGCATCTGACTCTTGATTTTGGCTCAGGTCATGGTCCAAGTGTCATGGGATCAAACCCTGCATTGAGCTCTGCACTGAGTGTGGAGTCTGCTTGGGATTCTCTCTCTCCCTCTACCCCTCTCCAACACACACACATGCTCTCTCTAGAAAATGAAAATAAAAAATAAAAAATAAAAAAGGATTGTTTTGCTCTAGCCAACTGTCCTCCTGATCATGTTAGATAAGAACTTAATACAATGAGCCAAAATAGATATAGTCCTCACATTTGTGGCACTGACAGCCTAGTGGGGAAGACAGACAGCAATTGTATTATAATATTATATTATCATACAATCATAAGTATCCTCATTTTTAGGAAACTAAGACTCTTGAGGGGTTAACTTGCCCAAGGTAATATAACCAGCAGATTGAAGAGCTAGGAGTGAAACCCAAGTTCTTTCTGTCATATCAGACTTCCTTCAGTTCTCTGGCCTCTTCTTTCTTCCTGTCTTTTTCTTTCTCCTCCTCTCCATTTTCTTCCTTTTTCTTCTCTTTCCCACTTTGGCTGTAAGGTTTCTACCATTAGTTGAAATATGACAAGATTTCACTTTATTCAGTCAATGCACTGGATTTATAGGTTTATTTATCTGACGTAACTTAGTTATCAAAAATGATATGGCAGGATGGCACAAAAATAGACACATAGACCAATGGAATAGAATCGAGAACTCAGAATTGGACCCACAAATGTACGGCCAACTAATCTTTGACAAAGTGGGAAAGAGTATCCAATGGAAAAAAGACAGCCTCTTTAACAGATGGTGCTGGGAAAACTGGACAGCAACATGCAGAAGAATGAAACTAGATCACTTTGTCACACCATACACCAAAATAAACTCAAAATGGATAAAGGACCTGAATGTGAGACAGGAAACCATCAAAACCCTAGAGGAGAAAGCAGGAAACAACCTCCTTGACCTCAACCACAGCAATTTCTTACTTGACACATCCCCAAAGGCAAGGGAATCAAGAGCAAAAATGAACTATTGGGACCTCATCATGATAAAAAGCTTCTGCATGGCAAAGGAAACAATCCATAAAACTAGTAGGCAACTGACAGAATGGGAAAAGATAGTTGCAAATGACATGTCAGATAAAGGGCTAGTATCCAATATCTATAAGCAACTCACCAAACTCCACACCCGGAAAACAAATAATCCAGTGAAGAAATGGGCAGAAGACATAAACAAACACTTCTCCAAAGTGGACATCCAGATAGCCAACAGACACACGAAATGATGCTCAGCATCTCTCCTCATCAGGGAAATACAAATCAAAAACCACACTGAGATACCAGCTCATGCCGGTCAGAGTGGCGTAAATGAACAAATCAGAAGACTCTAGATGCTTGTGAGGATGTGGAGAAACGGGCACCCTCCTACACTGTTGGTGGGAATGTAAACTGGTGCAGCCCCTCTGGAAAAACAGTGTGGAGGTTCCTCAAAAAATTAACAATAGAACTCCCCTACGACCCAGCAATAGCACTGCTAGGAATTTACCCAAGGGATACAGGAGTGCTGATGAATAGGGGCACGTGTACCCCAATGTTCACAGCAGCGCTCTCAACAATAGCCAAAACATGGAAAGAGCCTAAGTGTCCATCAACAGATGAATGGATCAAGAAGACGTGGTTTGGGGCGCCTGGGTGGCTTAGTCGGTTAAGCGTCCGACTTTCGCTTAGGTCATGATCTCGCGGTTCGTGGGTTCGAGCCCCGCGTCGGGCTCTGTGCTGACTGCCGGCTCAGAGCCTGGAGCCTGTTTCAATCTGTGACTCCCTCTCTCTCTGACCCTCCCCTGCTCACGCTGTCTCTGTCTCTCTCTCCTAGAAATAAATAAAACATTAAAAAAAATTTAAAAAAAAAAAAAAAAAAGAAGACGTGGTTTATCTATACGATGGAATACCACATGACAATGAGAAAGAATGAAATCTGGCCATGTGTAGCAACATGGATGGAACTTGAGGGTGTTATGCTGAGCAAAATAAGTCAGGCAGATGCTTCAGATTCTGTATCTCCCTCACTCTCTGACCCTCCCCTGCTCATGCTGTTTGTCTCTCTCAGAAATAAACAAAACATTAAAAAAAATAAGACAGGCAGAGAAGGACAGACACCATATGTTTTCATGTATAGTTGGATTAGGAGGAACTTAACGGAGGACCATGGGGGAGGAGAAGGGGAAAGATAGTTGGGGAGAGGGAGGGAGGCAATCCATGAGAGACTCTTGAATGCTGAGAACGAACTGAGGGCTAATGGGAGTGGGGGAGAGGAGAAGGGGGGTGATGCGTACGGAGGAGGGCACTTGTTGGGATGAGCACTGGGTGTTATATGGAAACCAACTTGACAATAAACTATAAAAAAAAATGATATGGCATGATCCATACTTAGAGTACATTCAAGTAATCCTTAATGAAATCTGGGCTGAGACACTTAGGTGTGAATCCCAGTTCTACTACTTACTAGCTCTGTGACGGTGGACAAGTTAATCTATTCATCCTACTCTAAAATAGGAATGACAGTGTCTTCATAGGATTGTTGTGGGGTTTACAGGTTTGCATTTTTTAAAAAGTAGGTTCCATGCCCAATGTGGGGCTTGAATTCATGACTCTGAGCTCAAGAGTCACATGCTCTACCAACTAAGCTAGCCAGGTGCCTCTGTGGTGGGATTTAAATGACTTACCACAGGGGTGGTTGGGGGCTCCAGTTGGTTAAGTGTCCAACTCTTGGTTCTAAATCAGGTCACAGTCTCACAGTTTGTGGGTTCAAACCCTATGTCAGGCTCTGCACTGACAGTGTGGAGCCTGTTAAGGATTCTTTCTCTCTCCCTCTTTCTCTGCCCTCCCCAATGTGAGCTCTCTCTCTCTTTTTTTCAAATTAAATAAATAAACTTTAAAAATTAAAAAAAAATGACTTAACAGTACAGGGCACATACAGCTCTCATTAATTGAGCATGTAAGAGTCTAGATCTCTTTGATCTGTTTCTTCATTGAAATAGTTTTGTTCTTCTAACTTTATAACCACTGTGACTAAGAGGTTAATATTCTATAGCTACTATACTATTTCTATTATTGTCTAGTTAGAGTCAAGGAGGACTTAATTGACAAAAAGGTCCTTGATTTCTGTGTGATACAGACCCATGCTATCTTTGCCTGTTTCAGGTCACCCCTTTCCTCAATGGTTTTTGGCATCAATGCTTTGTTTACCAAACCTGCTCAGTCTTTAGCTCCCATGATGATACTCTTTAAGCTAAAACAGTATGGATACGGAAACCCAGATAAAAGGTAGAGTAAAAATGCCTTTGAAATAATGTAAAGAAACTATGAAATGAAACTCAACCTTTTACATTGATTACTAGGCAATTATCTTGGACTTTGGATATTATTAGTCATTAATTCATAGATCTTGATTAAGCTATAGTAGAGAGTATTAATGTCAAAGGAATTTCCATAAGAGTATCTTTAAGGGTATTCTTTAAATTATACTACAGGGGCGCCTGGGTGGCTTAGTCGGTTAAGCATCCGACTTTCACTTAGGTCATGATCTCACGGTTCGTGGGTTCAAGCCCCGCGTCGGGCCCTGTGCTGACTGCCAGCTCAGAGCCTGGAGCCTGTTTCGGTCTGTGACTCCCTCTCTCTCTGACCCTCCCCTGCTCACGCTGTCTCTCTCTCTCCTAGAAATAAATAAAACATTAAAAATAAAATAAAATAAAATAAATTATACTACAAATATCAGGGTGCCTGGGTGGCTCAGTCGGTTAAGCATCCGACTTCGGCTCAGGTCATGATCTCATGGTTCATGGGTTCGAGTCCCAAGTTGGGCTCTGTGCTGACAGCTCAGAGCCTGGAGCCTGTTTCAGATTCTGTATCTCCCTCTCTCTCTGACTCTCCCCTTTTCATTCTCTCTCTCTCTCTCTCTCTCTCTCTCCATCTCTCCATCTGTTCCTCCCCACCCTTGCATGCCCCCTGTCTCTCATAAACTACCAAAAAAAGGGGTGCTTGGAATACAAGATGAATAGGAGCCTCTAAGGAGTCCCACAGATTATAAAATACTGTGGTAAGGGCTCTACCAGAAGCATAAAATTGTGCACAGTGATAATACAGACAAGAGATTCCTCATTCAGTCTGCCTGGGGCAGGGAGGCACCTCAGAGAAAAGGGGGTTCCTGAGCTGAGCTTTGAGTGCTGAGTTGGATTTCACCTCCTGAACACTGAAGAACATCATTCCAGGCAGAGAAAACAGCATGGAAAATGTCTGGAAGCACAAGAGAACTCTTAATAAGCTATTCATTTATTCACTGAACAAACATCATTGAGAGTCTACTATGTTCTAGGCTCTGTGATAGGGCAGTGAACAGCAGTGAATGAGACAACAGAAATCTCAGCCCTCCTAGAGCTCAGGTTCTAAGTGGGAGACAGGCAGACAAAAACTTAAATAAAATACATAGTATGTTAGTTGGCAACAAGTTCTTTGGTGAAAAATAAAAGAAGAAGGGGAATAAGAAGGGTTGGGGAAAACTGCATTTTTAATTAGAGTGATGGGGAAGGCCCCAGGAGATGACATTTGAATAAAAGCAAGGAGATGGGAGGGTACCTTGGCAGCTCTCTGGGGGAAGGGTATTCCTAGTAGAAAACACAGCAAGTGCAGAAAACAGAGAGCTACCATGCCTGGCTTTCTAGATCTCACAAGGAAGCTGGTGTGGCTGGAGCAGAGGAAGCAAGAGGAAGCCAGGTCTAGTAGGTCCTTACAGCCCTGCTTTGTTACTTTGGTTTCACTATGTCATATATGGTGGTAGTGAAGTGAGGCAGTGGAGGATTGATTTATTTTTTTTTTATTTGCTTTATTTTTTAGAGAAGTTTTAGGATCACAAGAAAATTGAGCAAAAAGTAGAGTACCTGTATATATTCGCTGCCCTCCACTAGGTACAGCCTCCCCCACATCAACAGAGTGGTACACTGGTTACAATCAATGAACCTACACAGATACATCATTATCACCCAAAGTCCATACTTTACATTAGGATTCACTCTTGGTGTTGTACATTCTGTGGGTTTTAATGCATGTGTAATGACGTGTATCCACCATTACAGTGTAATAGAGAATAGATTTACTGCCCTAAAAAATCCTCTGTGCTCCACCTATTCATCCTACTCTCCACCTTAACTCCAACAAGCAGTGATCTTTTTACTGTCTCCATGATTTGCCTTTCTCAGAATGTCTGATAGTTGGAATCATATACTATGTAGCCTTTTCAGATAGGTTTCTTTCACTTAGTGACATGCATCTAGGTTTCCTCCATGTCTTTTCATGGCTTAATAGCATGATTAATATTCCATTGTTTGGATGTACATTTCATTTATTTGTTCACTAACTTAAAGACATCTTGGTTGCTTCCAAGGTTTGGCAGTTATGAATCGAGCTGTTATAACCACCCATATGCAGCTTTTTGTGTGGATATAAGTTTTCAATTCCTTTGGGTAAATACCAATGAGCACATTTGCTGAACTGTGTAATAAGAGTATGTTGGGGCACCTGGGTGGCTTAGTCGGTTAAGCGTCCGACTTTCGCTTGAGGTCATGATCTCGCAGTTCGTGGGTTCGGGCCCCGCGTCGGGCTCTGTGCTGACTGCAGCTCAGAGCCTGGAGCCTGTTTCAGAGTCTGTGTCTCCCTCTCTCTCTGACCCTCCCCTGCTCACGCTGTANGAGCCTGGAGCCTGTTTCAGAGTCTGTGTCTCCCTCTCTCTCTGACCCTCCCCTGCTCACGCTGTATCTCTCTCTCTCTCTCTCTCTCTCTCCTAGAAATAAATAAAACATTAAAAAAAAAAAAAAGAGTATGTTTAGTGTTGTAAGAAAGAGCCAGACTGTTTTTGAAAGAGGCTGTACCATTTTAAATTCCCATCAGCAAAGTAATAAAGAGTTCTTGTTGCTCCGCCTCCTTATCAGCATTTGGTGTTGTCAGTGTTTTGGACTTTAGCCATTTTAACAGGTGTGTATCTCATTTTAATTTGCAGTTTCCTAATGACTTATGATGTGGAACATATTTTAATATGCTCATTTGCCATTTGTATGTCTTTGGTGACGTGTCTGTTCAGGTCTTTTGCCCATGTTTTAATCAGGTTATTCATTTTCTTTTCTTTTTTTTTCTTTTTAATTTTTTTTCCCAGTGTTTTTATTTATTTCTAAGAGAGAGAGCGTGAGCAGGGGAGGGTCAGAGAGAGAGGGAGACACAGAATCTGAAACAGGCTCCAGGCTCTGAGCTGGCAGTCAGCACAGAGCCCAACGCGGGGCTCGAACCCACAAACTGCGAGATCATGACCTAAGCGAAAGTCGGACGCTTCACCGACTAAGCCACCCAGGCGCCCCAGTTTATTCATTTTCTTGTTGTTGAGTATTAGGATTTCTTTGCATATTATGGATAACAATCCTTTATCAGATATGCTTTTTGCAAATATTTTCTCCCAGTCTGTGGCTTATCTTCTCATTCTCTTGACAATGTTTTTGGCAGAGCAGAAGTTTTTAATTTTTTTTAATTTTTTTAATTTATTTCTAGGAAAGAGAGAGACAGCGTGAGCAGGGGAGGGTCAGAGAGAGAGGGAGACACAGACTCTGAAACAGGCTCCAGGCTCTGAGCTGGCAGTCAGCACAGAGCTCGACGCAGGGCTCGAACCCACGAACCACGAGATCATGACCTAAGTGAAAGTCGGACGCTTAACCGACTAAGCCACCCAGGCGCCCCAGAAGTTTTTAGTTTTAATGAAGTCCAATTTATCAATTATTTGTTTCCTAGATTGTACTGTTCGTGTTGTATCTGAAAAGTCATCACTATACCCAAGTCACCCAGATTTTCTCCTGTGTTAACTTCCAAAATTTTATAGTTCTGTACTTTACCTTTAGGTCTGTGATATGTTGTGGTTAATTTTTGTAAAGGTATAAGGTCTAGATTCATTTTTCACATGTAGATGTCCAGTTGTTTCAGTACCATTTGTTGAAAAGACTACTTTTTTCCTGTATTGTATTACCTTTGCACCTTTGTCAGAGATCAGTTGATTACATTTATGTGGATCTATTTCTGGCCTCTCTATTCCATTACATTGATCTATTTGTCATTTTGCCAATACCATACTATATTGATTATTGTAGCTTTATAGTAAGTCTTAATGTCAGGTAATGCTGGTCCACTGACTTTGCTCTTCTTCAGTATCGTGTTGGCTATTGCCTTTCCATATAAATTTTAGAATCAGTTTGTTGATATCCACAAAATAACCTTCTGGGATTTCGATTGGAATTGAGTTAAATCTATAGATCAAGTTAGGAAGAACTGACATCTTTTCTTTTAAGATAGAAATTTTTAATTTATTTTTATTAATGTTTTATTTATTTCTAAGAGAGAGACAGCATGAGCAGGAGAGGGTCAGAGAGAGAGGGTGACACAGAATCCGAAACAGGCTCCAGGCTCTGAGCTAGCTGTCAGCACAGAGCCTGATGTGGGGCTCAAACCCATGGGCTATGAGATCATGACCTGAGCCGAAGTCGGACGCTTAACCAACTGAGCCACCCAGGTGCCCCGAAAAACTGACATCTTGACAATATTGAATCTTCCTATCCATGAACATGGAATATCTTTCCATTTATTTAGTTAATTTTTTATTTCTTTCATCAGAGTTTTATAGTTTTCCTCATATAGATCTTATACATGTTTGTTATATTTATACCTAAAATCTTTATTTATTTTTTATTGTTTGTTTATTTCAGAGAGAGAGAGTGTGTGTGTGTGTGTGTGAGCAGGGGAGAGGCAGAAGGAGATGGGGAGAGAATCTTAAGCAGGCTTCATGCCTAGCATGGAGCCCAATGCGGGTCTTCATCTTATGAGCCATGAGATCATAACCCAAGCTGAAATCAAGAGTTGTACTCTGAATTGACTGAGTCACCCAGAGCCCCTAAAGTCTTTCATTTTTAGGATGCTAGTGTAAATTGTGTTATATTTTTAATTCTAAGTTTCACTTGTTTATCACTGATATATAGGAAAGCAATTGACTTTTGTATATTAACCTTATATCTTGCAACCTTGCTATAATTGCTTATTAGTTCCAGGAAGTTTTTGTTGTTGATGACTCTTTTGGATTTTCTATTCTATGTAGCCAAGGATTTATTTTTTAAAGTTTTTCTTACAGGGACACCTGGGTGTCTCAGTCATTTGAGCATACGACTTTGGCTCAGGTCATGATCTCACAGTTCATGAGTTCAAGCCCTGCATCAGGCTCTGTGCTGACAGCTCAGTGCTGACAG